TTCTATTAAAACTTTAATAATTTAATATTAGACCTAAAATTATGAGATTTTTTAAACTTTTGAGGGACTATTGGACATTTAAAGTCAAGGAACTAATATCTAAATAACATTTACATATTTGCTCTTACAGGCATTATATTAAATATTGGTGGATATGTTGCTATATCAGCTAATATATTGAGTTAAAGACTTTATCTCGATAATGTTTTATACTATTTTTTTTGTTTGGTAATTTTTTTAATATCGACCGCTATCGAAAATAGGGCCGATATATCCCTTTGAAGATATCGAGAAAATTGTGTCATTTTTAATTTGATAGTGGGCTCGGGTTTGGATCGTGTTTGGGAAACAAAATCAGAGCCCTCAAAACACACAAAGGCCACAATTCTTCTCCTAAATCTCTCCACTCTTGGCTCTCCCAAATCTTAAATATATATCTTGATACAAATTCTTATGTTTAAAATTTATTAATATGTTAGATTACATATTACATATCATGTTATGTATGAATATTATCTCATATGACACCCAGTATTATATACATATCCCTGATTTTTGCAATCCAATATCGTGGATTTTATTTGTTCAATATTTATCCGATGTTCAACACTTTGTAGTAGTCATTCGAAAACCTCTTCTGAAGTTTTCTAAGCGGATTATATAATTTTAGGAAATAATTCAAAATCTTGAGACTCATTCAAAATATGATGCTTTAATTTTTCCACATCTCCTTTACTATATAAATATAAGCTATGCAAGTGGCCGCATATTGTATGATGAATGTTATTTATCAATAAAATCATATACTATTGTTTGTAGATAACAAATATTTCAAATATTTTATACGCTTAACTGAACTTATATACCTTATAATTTACCAAAATTATACTATATATACCTCCACTTGTATCTTGCTACACTTTTTTTTAAATTTAAGATAGCGTATCTTGCTGCACTTAAATATCCTAATGTTTTCTAAAATTTTATGCTTGTACCTTTTGTCTTGTTACCTAAACATAAGAATGCTCTTTGTAATTTTCCTATATAAGTGTCATGATATAATTTGAGAACAATTCTATGTTTTTTATTCTTTCCATAAATACTTTATTAACATGTAATTATCTATTAATATATTGTTATACATTACTAATAGTTAATATGATGTAGAGTTTACAATAACATTGGAAGTTTTATGGACCAAATTCTACAAATTTAAAGTGACATATAATATAATTAATTAACAATGATAATTAATTTAGTTTAGTTAGTATTAGAATGTAATATCAAAAAAATAGGGGTAACATAATAATTGGAAAGTTTTTTCACAACTCTCTCTTTTAAAGGGAGTATGATATCATTTCCTTGTTTTAATTCTTGGATGGTTATGAGGGGGTAAACTAACTTCTAAACTTATAAAAAATATGAAATTCTTCTTAGTTATGTTTTCTAATTTGTGTCCTTTACTTTTGAAGATTCATACAAAGAAGAGGAATAGATTGGAATCGAAGAGGTTAGAGGAACTGGTCTATGTGAAGTTTAACTCAAAGCTCAACCAGAAGAAGAGGAGAGGAGAAAACAAGAACCTACTACTGTCTACTGGTCGTAGTACGACACGAGCATGGATCCTAGAAGGAGCATGTTCCGATGATGAGGAAGAAGTTTATCCTAGCTCAGGCCTTACTTGGAGGATGGTAGAGGGTATATCGGGAGCGGCTGAGGCTGCGGAGAATAGGAGGAGTTCTAGGCTACCAGGACCTTCAAGTGCTTCTACTTCAGTGATGGATGATGAAGAAGGGCCTCTTGTCTCGGATGATAATGTTTCAGACGAGGAGGAGGATTGTGTGGAAATGGATTCTGGAGAGGATAGTGATGATGGAGTAGAGGAGGAACTTCATGATGATGATGTTTGATGATGACATTAGATTAGATGCATATTGCTAATTCATTATATTAGATCTAGACTATTCCTGTTTGACTATCTTTTTGCTGATATTTTGGGACCTAAACTTCTAGTTATTGGATATTATATGCCTTGCCATTTAGTATGTATGCATCTTTGATTGACTATTACAGTTTGGATAGCATATGTGTTGGTATTTTTGTATTTATGCATTATTGATTGAGTATATATATTTATATTCAAGTATCACAATTAAAAAGAAAGAAAAAACCCACCCATAAACCGCTTAGATGCCGCCTAGGAGTCTAAACGCTGGGCGCCAAGTCCGACGCCTAGGAGCTCCCAGCGTTTAATGTAACATTGTCTCGAATCATATCGGTGTACCTCTCCTACACCATACTATGAGCCGAATGTCCCTATCTTCTTCATCATTTGGCTTGGACCGAATATCACCGCTCATCGTCTTCATGTCCAATGCCACCATCTCTATCTCTGGGTATGTCACTCAGTCGTGCCTGCTTACAAGCTCCACTTAATCTGGCACTGTCCTCCTCGAGTCTACACACCATCTAACTCCTGCTCCCATGATGACCCTGAATAATTATATGCTGATAACTTTACTACTAGAATCACATCTGATTCTCTACACCAGTCTCATCCGTCGCATACTCGTTTGCCCTATCTGTCATTAGATCTGTCTTGTTATCATCATTAAAATTTGTCAGCACTTTCTGACCAATCTGAGCAAAATCTAAAAAATCAAATCCTCCCATCGCATTCAGAGCACTCCAAAACCTAGGAATCAACTTTTGAATCATCAAAATCCTCCTCCAAACACTCAATCAGAAGACAAATTAATCTGCACTGTCAGATTTGATTAAATAATTTTTAACCAAACCCTCACCCACATGAACAGTGTTCCCGCCGCTACAATACCTTCTTTTTTTCTTCATCTTGATTCTTGTAATGTCGCTGATCTTTACTTTTATATGATGTCTATCTTGCGAACTCGCTCCCGAATCCATCATCATGTTTCTGATACCACTTATTGGGGAATTTTAGTCTCCTTGCATACTACGATCTCCGCAACTCAGAAGCCAACCCATAGTCAACAATATAGAATACAACCACAATCAAGAAGAAAGAGCACCGAGATTTACGTAGTTTAGTCGATTTTGACCTACATCCACGGGGTAACAATACGAGAATTCTACGATGTATCAGGAAGAACTACAAGAGGAATCACTCATCTCTCTCCTCTCAATCTCTCAACTCACATATATAATCAACTATCACATCCTCTCCAAAACTCACTCCTTACAATCTTTTGAACGGACAATTAAAGACTGCGAAACCCTCTCCCAATGTTGTAAACTTTTGCATGGATAAAGACCACAAAACCGTCGTCTCTTGCACAATATTCTTGAATTAGGATACGCCCTCTGCTAATCTTAGATTATAAGAATATTAGCTCTCTCCGTTCTCCTTGGGTTTTCCTCCAAAAATAGAAGAATAAATATAGGGAAATCAAAACCCTACCCCTAGCCTAACTTCCTAATTAGAATAGGATATAAACTACTAATCATGATGAGACTCAATCTCCTAATCATGATAGATATCTAATTCACATGAAGTTATACAAAAAATTAAAGATACAATCTTAACAGTGTGAAATTAAAAATAAAGATAAATCGATTGGTGGTACGCACTCTGCACATCAAGACTCCTATTGATTTAGTAATATTACACATCGACTAAGATCTGCATATGGTGATATTTATATTACAAACATGTCTTGAAAAAGTGCAAGCTAATAAAATTTTAGGTTATTTTCCTTTTAAAACTGGTTTCTGTTGTTGTCGTCGTGGTCGAGAAAATCCCTCTAAAATTAGTAGTTTGATACGGATTAGATCCAAAATTTCTTATAAAGAGTTGTAAGTAGCTTTTTGATAATTAATTTGTCAAACTATTTGTTCTTTTTATAATTAACTAATTAATCCACATCAACTCCAGGACGAGGACATGGACATGATGAAATTAAACGTGGAAGGAGAATTTGAGGAGATACTTGCAGTGGGTGTATTTAATTATGAGGTCGATAGACAGAGATGGGTGGATTTGGAGAAGAGAGAGGATCAAATGTGAAGCAATATAATTTAATGAATTATAGTGGGATCCATAAACGATATTGCCACTTATCAATCCTTCAATTAGCTACAACTGCCTTTTTCAATGCTATTATAATAATTTATAGATGTATCGTGTTTCGGGAAATTGTACGTGTACCCTGATTTTGGAGCAAGTGTTAAACAATCAGGAGCCGATGGTTCGAGCCAATTAAGTTCCTCGATCTCTAACTTTTTTTTTTTTGCGAGCACTTACTTTAATATAGGAATCTCGTGTCGTTAATTAGCTGTGGTTCATCTTAATCAATTGACTTCCGCTTATCCTTTGGCTTTATTATTAATTATTAATGCCGCCCCCTCAATGCCCATAATTGGCCATTTGCTGGTCGTAAAGCCTGTTAGCTCGTGCTGATCAGTTGCTACACGCATCATAAAATTAGTAGCTATATTGTCTAATCTATAATAATAATAACGGTTTTTCTATAGAGTGCCCATGGGTATTCTATAAGAGAGGAGAGAGATAGAGAGAAATGAATGAGGAGGGGGTTCCACTGATTTGCATTGGGATCATCTTCTCATTCATTTCTTTTTATCTCTCTCCTCTCTTATAAAGTGCTCATGGGCACCCTATAGAAAAACCGTAATAATAATAATAATAAACAAAAATGGTTATTAATTAATGCAACACCATTAACATGAATGTACGTTCCCAACTCGTATAATTAACAGGGTCCATTTTTTTTTCTGGAGGGCCGCCCGGGGCAACAGCATGCTACTGTGCGGAGGGAGCGCGGTGTCAAAACAGTAAATAAACAACAGCCACGCTTGTGGAGCCAACTGATTCCACGATCTCATCCGTAAATATCGCCAGCTCCCGGGGGCAAATCCGCAAACTGAGTTGCCCGGTGCCAACTCGACACGTAACGAATGATCCGAGTAAAAGAGAGAGAGAGAGTGAGAGGGGGGTGGGGTAGCTTCCTTTCCTTCAGACAGAAACCACCGCCAAGACTTTTCTAATTTCTAATTTGAGGAGGAATAAAATAAAATAAAAAACGAGAAAGAACGGCATTGGTCTTTCTAATAATTTCTGCGATCTTGGAGCTCGATCTTGGAGATGGGGAGGGGGCGAGTGGAGCTGAAGAGGATCGAGAACAAGATCAACCGACAGGTGACGTTCGCGAAGAGGAGGAGCGGGTTGTTCAAGAAGGCCCACGAGCTGTCGGTGCTCTGCGACGCCGAGGTTGCTCTCGTCGTCTTCTCCAACCGAGGCAGGCTCTACGAGTTCTGCAGCAGCTCCAGGTTCCCACCCACCGTTTCTCCAGCTAGCTAATCAAACCCTAACTAACCCTAGCTTAGCACTGTTGGATTCAATCTATCTCCGATCTCCTCTCTCTCATTCTCTCTCCAAAAAATTTAATTAATAATAAAAACTTGTTTTTTTTCCCCGGTTTGTTTGTTTGTTTGTTGGATCCGAGCGTCCAAAACTAGATCCGGCTACATATCTTCGTGTAGTTAATGAATGACGTTATTAATTGTCCCAAGTTTCTGGCTTGCTAGATCTTCCGTCTCCTCTAGAACCCTAACCCTCGCAGATCGATTCTTAGAATGAACTATGAATGAATTATGAACTTCGCTCCCTGCGGATTCTTAGGATGAATGAATGCTAGCTAGCTGCTTTGCGCACTGCTTTTATCCGTACCAGCAGCCGCTGTGTATATTAATTGCTGTGCCATGGGGTGGGGTGTGGGTGTGTTCACCTCGTACCTTGAAAACTAAGAGCGAGCCCCTTTTTAATTCAGGCCCCACTGGTAAAGCTTATAATTACATGACCATATATATTTTATGTCTTAAAGCCATGTTTTATGTACTAGGGTTCCACCCTGGGGATTCTTATTCTATGTTGTAACATCAAATATGCAAGCACCAGCCACTAATTAAGTATCCCTCGCCTCAATGCCTTGTTCTGGTTACATACGTACATATCCCTCCTTTCCATTAATAGTTAGTTTCTCAGTGCTATGAGTATTCAAAAATTAAGTTTTTTTTTTCATAAATAATCAATTAACCCACTTTAGAATTTAATCCTTGGGTGTAGGTATTTAATTGCCTCAGTTCTGAATTGTTTGTTTATTTATTTTTAAAATTCTCAAGCTACATATATATGGTTAGAAAAATGCATATAAAAGGCGCTAAAGTTAGATCAACTACGTACATTAGCATGCCATCCAATTAACCTTATGGTATAAACATTCACAACTAGACAGACCCGTTGCATGTTTCTCAATTGTGGCCTTCCATGTGGCATCCGTAGCACTTAATTAGTAGGCCGAGTATTCAGTGACCTATTGTTCATTCATCTAGTATATGGACTTCCATGTCTTTTTTAGTAAGAGGAGGCTTTAACTGACGGTCTTTATTACCATATATTTTTTATTTTTATTTTTGTTGGAAGTTTAAAAATGAAATAGGATTAATCTCTCAAGACCGTGAGGAATATGTTTATGGATAAAAAATGTTTCTCTCGGATACTTATGATCGACTCAATTGGCATCCATCCAATTAACCGTATGGTGTGGGAGCCTCAAGTGTTTTAAACAAAAAGTGATCAGAGGTACACGTCCTATCAAGGTAAAGTCTGGAGGAATAAATGTATCCACAATTAGTACTCAACACTTTCGCTTTCAAGTTGACATTTTCCCATAGTTACTCGACAATATCATGCTCAATTCTTCCACCTTACTTTGGTTGCCATGTACCTTGAATGAGTTTAATCATATGTAGCTCTTTAATTTGTTTATTCTTTCTTTCAGCGTGCTTAAAACTATTGAGACATACAGAAAATATAGTTATGCTCAAGCAGTTCCAGCAAATGAGATACAGGTAATACTTAATCTACCTTTTAAAAGTGTTTTAAATGTCATCCACTTTCAATCTCCACAGTTTCTCTTGTTTATTCTTTTTCTCTTATTTTGATGAAATTCTCTTGTTGCTTATTGTTGTGGAGTTGTTTGTGAGAAATTACAGTTCTTAATTATGTTTTGAATATGATCTTCTAAGGTCACTGCTCATAATGAAGATATAAAAAAGGGTATATTTGGCAAAACCCCCCTTAAGTATAGGTGATTCTCATATTACTACTCTTGACTTTCAAAATGTCACAGAAGCTCCCTTAAGTTTTAGAGTTCTAATAAAAACCCTTAAACTTTAAACATTAAAAAAAAAACACTCCAAACTGGAGGATTATCTTATCTAACAAAACTTAAAGGGGAATGTCAATAAAACCTTGTGACGCCCCGGTTCCAAAGCGTAATAATTGGAACGTAACTTGACCGGCAATGCAATCATTCGGCCACATTCATGCCTCTAGGTCATCCTGTATATAAATATATAATCACAACTACACCACAGAGCATGCAATTAAGACAATAAAAGAAAAATATAGATAAAGAAATCTCCAGAAAGACAAAGTTCAACTACAACAAGTTCACAATGGAAAGAGTAAGTAAAAATACATTATAGTTTAGAAGGCCACATATGGCTCAAGGAAATGTCTGTATCAAATAACTACCTAAACCAATTGAAATTAAAGAACTGATACGATAAATGGTGATCATTGCCACTAAGCATGCTCCTCAAAATACTCTCGATCCTGCGAAGAAAGAACATACCTCGAGTCTGGGGTCATAGAATTGCTCACACTTAAGAGTTTCGTTAAACTCTAGAATGAAGTTTCAATCATTCTCATTAGTATGGGGGATTTTTTGATAAAACATAAGGTGGTTTTTCTGACATTTGAAAGTTAAGGGGGTTATCAAAGAAACACCCAAACCTAGTGGGGGCTTTTTGAAATATATCCATAAATAAATGTATATAAACCTTCTTTGCTTTTAGGGGGCTAATCGGTTCGTTTCCTGAAACTATAGGAAGTCTATTCTTTTCCTAAAAATGCATTTTCCATTATTTTTGGGTGTTTCCTGGAAAAGCATTTTATGTGTTTGTTTCGCTCTTAAATCAAAGAAAGAAATTGGTTCACATAAATCCATAGTTTGGATCTAAATCTGCTAGATATTATTAGATCTTATTAGGTATTAGTAAATACGGAAATTTTAAAAAAAGATCACTTTTGAAAAAATATTAGTAAAATTGACCATTTCACATAATAATTAGCAAAATCTATTTCTTTTTTGTCACATCATCAAGGCTGGCCAAAATGTGGTTGATTTGGTCAACAATCCATCATTTTTTTAATCTTTTTCTTGAAGTGATTATAAATCTCATAAGTACCTTCAAGACTTTTGATCACTGGACATGTTGTGGCTGGTTATGTTATAAGGTTGGAAGGTTAAGAGGGAAGTAGAAGTCGCAAGATGGTAGCTTGAACTGGACTTCTGTTCTCATTCAACTTGCACCCATGCATAAAACTGAGACCCTGAGTGTAAACATATCTTTAGAATTGTTAAAGTAAGAGAGAGAGAATCTTGGGTAAATTTTCCTTTAGTTGAATATTGAGTGTGCACATATATTTATACAAGTAGAGGAGTATGATGTGTATTCTCCCAAGCAATGTGGGACTAAAACCCACTACAATATACTTTTATCAACAGTCCCCTTCAAACTCATGTTGGATCAAACAAAGTGAGTTTGCGTACAAGAAACTGGAACTGATGAACAGGTAAGGCCTTTGTGAAGAAATCTGCAAGCTCGTCAGCGGATGAAACATGAGGAAGTAGAATTGTCTTGTCCTTGATAACTTGGTGACGGACAAAATGAGCGTCGATCTTAATATGTTTGGTCCTTTCATGAAATACTGGATTATTAGCAATGACAAAATGAGCGTCGATCTTAATATGTTTGGTCCTTTCATGAAATACTGGATTATTAGCAATCTGGATGATACTCTTATTATCACAGTAGAGAGGAGTAGGAGTCATAACAAAAATACTGAAATCACTGAGAAGGCGATGAAGATGAATAATCTCTTTACCTGTTGTGGACATTGCATGATACTCTGCCTCGGTACTGAAAAGAGCAATAACATCTTGTTTCTTACTTCGTCAGGAAATAAGGGAATCACCAAGAAATATACAATAACCTGTGGTAGACTTTCTGGTAGTTGGATCACCAGCCCAATCAGTATCAGAATATGCACAAAACTCTAACTTAGATGTAGTAGGAAACAAAAGAGAGCGAGTGCTAGTACCCCGGAGGTACCAAAGAATCCGTAATAAGACAACATAGTGTATAAAACGTGGGGAACTAACAAATTGACTGACAATACTAACAACATGAGAGATATCTGGTCGAGAGATGCACAGATAGACCAACTAGCCAACAAGATTTCGATATCGAGTAGGATCAGATAGAGACTCACCGTCAGTAGAGCAAAGTTTAACATTCTGTTGGAGTGGAGTATTGACAGTTGCATATCAGTTAGCTCAACTTGATTTAGAATATCTGAGAGATACTTCTGTTGAGACAGTAATACACCCCGCGGGCCTTGAGAAATTTCTAGACCAAGAAAATACTGAAGAGATCTAAGATCCTTCATGTGGAACTATTGTTGCAACTAAGATTTTGCGTATTGTATACCTGTCATATCATTACCTGTAATGATCATATCATCTACAAAGATGAGTAATAAAACTCTGCCACACGATGTAGTGCGAACAAACAGAGAAGCATCTTGATGACTTTCTATAAAGACCGCTTTGAGCACGACATCACGAAAACACTCAAACCAAGCGCGAGGTGCCTGCTTGAGACCATAAACAGCACAGCGAAAGAGACATACATGTCTCAGAAGAATATTTGACCCTGGAGGCGGTTGCATATATACGGTCTCTGATAAAGAGCTATAAAGAAAAGTATTTTTAACATCCATCTGGTATAAGGGCCAACGATGAGCAACAGCGACCGCAAGAGGAGTACGAATAGTGGGTATCTGAGCAACAGGAGCAAAGGTCTCCTCATAATCAATACATTGTTGCTGAGTAAAACCTCGAGTCACTAAACGAGCTTTTCGACGTTCAATGATGCCATCAGGACGAAACTTGACCTTATAAACTCATTTACTGCCAACAAGAGAGATCCCAGGAGGGCAGGGAACAACATCCCAGGTATGAATTTGCTGAAAGGCTTGAAATTCCTCAGTCATAGCCTGTCGCCACTCTGGAATTTGAACTGCCTCTTGGAAGGACTTTGGCTCAACAATAGTATGAATGACAGCAAGAAAGTTATGAAAGATAGGTGAATAAGAAGTAACTGAAGCATATCGGGCAGACATGACATGTGGGCGTTTGCCTCGACGAAGAGCAAGAGGAACCTCAGGCGGGGGAGATGCTGGCGCAGGTGCGTGGAGATCAATAGTATTTTCTAGAGTGAGAGTTGTGTCCACGAGATATGAATTAGATGGTGTAAGAGAAGACTCGGGTGAGGAAGAGTCAACAGAAGGAGAGGGAGAGATGTCAGGGAGATCTCGAAAGGAAAATTGAGGTGAAGAAGTGGATGATGCAGTTGATGAGGAAGCATGATCAGTGGAGTGGAGGAAATTAAAGTCATCAGAAGCAGAATAATATGGAGAATCCTCTTCAAACTGAACATGACGAGATATATGAACTCGACCAGTTGCGGGATCATAACAACGATAACCTCGATGTTCTGAACTAATTCCTAAATAAACACAAGAAACAGCTCTGGGAGACAATTTATCACGTTCGTGAGATGGAAGAAGAACAAAACATCGATAACAAAAAACACGAACTAGACCATAATAGGGAGGATGAGTATAAACACGACTATAAGGAGTAGCACCAGAAAGAGAGCTAGATGAAGTGATATTAATGGCATGAGTCACGGTGAGAATAGCCTCAGCCCAAAAATGATGAGGAACAGAGTAAGAAATGAGCATTGATCGAGCAGTATCGAGGATATAACGATGTTTGCATTCAGCAACACCATTTTGCTCATGAGTGTAGGGACATGACTGTTGAAAGATAGTCTCATGAGAGGACATGATAGAGCGCATGGTAGAGGATAGGTACTCTTTGGCACAATCAAAACGAAAAACTTTAATACGAGATTACCATTGAGTGAAAATCATAACAGTGAAGGCTTGATAAGCAGTAAGTACGTCAGAGCGATTCTTAAGTAGGTAAACCCATGTAAAACGAGAGAAATCGTCGATAAAGCTAACATAATATAAGTAGCCAGATGAAGAAGGCAAAGAAGCTGGCCCCCAAATATCAGAATGTACTAAATTAAATAAGGAAGTGGATACGGATGTACTCATTTTAAATGGTAAAGCAGTGAATTTAGCCAATTTGCAACCAGTACATGACTCAATACTAGAACTAGATGATATAGGACCAAGTACTCCAGACTAAATAAGACTCTCCAGCCTTTTATTAGACACATGACCAAGTCATCTATGCCATAAATTAGCAGGAAGCGAGGTAGAGGGTTTTGATGAACGAAGAGAAGCAACAAGAGAATGTGGACGTATGAATTCTGGAAGGTGAATATATTCCAGAAAATACAGTTTGTGCCTCCTACGATCCGCCTCAACCGTCTTGCCCATCTGTGGATCTTGCATAATACAAGTATCAGAAGAAAATGAGTCAAACAGGCCCGTCATGCATAAAGAGCTAATAGAAATTAAATTCAAGCACAACTGAGGAGCCACATAGACGGGACCAAGTGTTAGACGACCAGATGGATCATTTTGTGAGGTAATTGAGCCATACTGAGTAATGGACAATGGTTGTCCAGCAGCTGTGTAGATAGGAGGAAGAGAGGATGAAGTAAAGACAGAGGATAAAAGTGAGGCATTACAAGTCATATGAAAGGAACAGTCAGAGTCAAAAATCCAGAGATCATTCATACCAGAGACCGAAGGATTAGCTGAAGAACCAGCAAAATGCATACTAGAGAGTTGTGCGGCTGATGTAGAGGTGATATGTTGAAAAGCATCAAGTTGACGGCGAAGACTTTTAATAGCTTGAATAGTAGAGTCTGAAGAAGTAGAAGGTATAGCATTGGCTAGCAATCCTGGTGTACGAGAGGGTTGAGACTGAGGGGGTCGCTGATCACGACCAGTACCTGAGGAACGTAACTCAGGATGAAGCTTGAAGCATGTCTCAATGCGGTGTCCTTCTTTCTTGCAATATTTGCAAGAGAGCTTAGATCGAGCTTCTGGAGAGGGAGCCTGTTGAGAAGTATGATTCATAACAGGAGTAGTGACAGGTACAGACAAAACAGTCTTGAGTGAAGAGGTAGGAGTGTCTGTTGACAAATTGAGTCGTGTTGTCTGCTGTCGGGTCTCATAAGTAGTGAGAGCTCCCATAACTGAGACCAAAGTCGGAAATTAAGGCTGATGAAGTAGTTGATCAGCCATAGTTGAATATTCAGGAATGGACTAAAACAGTTGATGCACCTCATGCCGTTCGTACCAGGCTAGCCAGTCTTCATATGTGGAATTACGTCAAGGAAGCATAGAGCGTAACTCTGTCCAAAAAGCTTGCATTTGTCTAAAATGGGACTGCAGAGATGAACTACCTTTGTGTTGTAGAGCAATGCGTTGCAGAAGATATGTCTCCCGTGCACCCGAGCACTCAGTGAAACGCTCAGTGAGATAAGTCCACATGGCCCGAGCAGAGGGAAACGAGCCAATTTCGACAGTGAGACCAGAGCCAACACAGCGAGTGAGATAATCCATAACACGAAATTCCTTCAATTGCCACTCTGAACTCTCCTTGACATAGAGAGCACGAGCAGTCTGAAGATCGACATCACCACTGCCAGAGGCAATAGTACTGGATGAAGCAACAGTGCTGATGGACGGTGGAACTGGTCCCGTACTGGTGAGATGATCAAGCAAACCAGCGCCACGCAAGGCATTGGTGACAATGGTGGACCACCCTGCCCAGTCACTTTGATCATTGATGGGCAAAGGTGGTTTGGGAATCTTCTCTGAAGGAGCCATAACAGCAATGTTGAGACGTTAAGACATCGAGATGCCGTTACTGACTGCGAAACGGTAATGTCGTTCGTTTGAGGCCGAGAGACAGCTTCAACGACGATGCCGTTAATTTGAGACCGAGAGACGGTCTTAAAACGACAATGCCGTTAAAATAGAACCCGAATGTTAGAATGAAACCCGAAGGTTTAAAATAGAACCCGAAGGTTAGAATGAAACCCGAAGGTTAAACGAGAATGCGAAACGTGTCAAGAGGCCGCAAAGCAACAAGGCCAAAATATCTGGCAGATGAATGCAAAAAAAAAAAAAATACATTAAACGGCTGCAAAGCAACAAGGCCAAGATTTGGCAAAAGAACGCAGAAGCGTTAAAAATTTTATTGAAGGGGAAATAGCCCTAGCAATGTGAGAGAGAATCTTGGGTAAATTTCCCTTTAGTTGAATATTGAGTGTGCACATATATTTATACAAGTAGAGGAGTGTGATGTGTGTTCTCCCAAGCAATGTGAGACTAAAACCCACTATAATACACTATTATCAACAAGAATCATAGATATTTTTCATGCTATATCCATTACCCTATACACTTCTCATGGCTATCAGAATATCTGCTATCGGCTTCTCCTGAAGCTTATAGATTACACCAATCAGGTTTGACACAGTTAAATAATCACAAAGATCACGAAGTAGCACATATTTGCTCCATGTTTGGTTGAAGTATGTGACGTGCTCAAGTATTTCAGTGTACGTTACATAATAATAATGGCAATAAAAGTTTATAACACTCCGTTATGCGATCTGAGTATTTAGAGAAATCTGGTCAGGCCAACTTGAACTATCATTTTCTATGGTTCCATTTACAACTTTTAACAAGGGCAAATTTTTTTTTTCCCTGAAGCCAAAAAGTTATGAAGAATATTTGGGGCTGAAAGGAAGAGTTGAGATTCTACAACGTTCACAAAGGTAGACTTGCTGATAAAAAAAACACCGCACATATTTCTCATTGTATTTCGATCATTACAATTTTTTAAGTACAAATCCTTAATCTAATGATCTCTTGATTGCACAAATTCAGAAACCTTCTCGGGGAGGACTTGACTCCATTAAGCACTAAGGAACTTGAGCAACTAGAAAATCAAGTTGCCATGTCTCTAAAGCAGATAAGACTGACAAAGGTAACAACTAGCTGAGAATAATGTTATGTTAAATAGAGAAAGATTCTGCAAAACCTGCATTCATTTTTATGCTATTTAGCTGCTTTGACTTGATTCCTTTTTACTTTTTGAGCAGAAAATAGGGCGAGATGCCCTATTCCTAAGCTAACATATTGGAAAGGTAACTATTTATGGAGTCTGATAAATATTATAGTCGTCTTAATCCATCACTGGAAACTGACCAGGGATTGGTCCCAGACGTCACCTGGCACATAGTTCAATAAATACCAACATAAGGCTATTGCGATATAAATGAAAGTCATTTTGTTATGAGCTGTCCATATATACCAACATAAGGCCAGAAACAAAGACTGACCATAGCTTGCGAACACTCCTCTCTGCTATAAAATTTTCATATAATTCAATACAATCATGAAAAGGAGGAGGACATGTATAATCCTCAATATTGCTCCTCTCCTTCCTTCTCTCCACCCCTTCCCACTAACTACTACGACATTAACTGTTGGGGAATTTTACTCTCCCCGCCTACTACAATATGCGTAACTCCGAAGCTAACCCACAATCAACAAGATATAAAACGACCACAATCAAGAAAAAGAGAACACCCGGATTTACGTGGTTCGGTCGACCAACTTCGACCTACGTCCACGTGGCAACAATACGAGAAATTCACTATGTATCAGGGAGAACTACAAGAGGAACCACTCAACTCTCGTCTCTCAATCTCTTAACCTCACATACATAATCAACTCTCATATTCTCTCCAAAGCCCACTCTTTATTATCTTTTGCACGGATAAAGATCACAAAACTCTCGCCTCTCGCACAATATTCTTGAATCAGGCTATGCCCTCTGCTAACCCTAGATTACAAGAATATTGGCTCACTCTCTCTACTACATCTGCTCTCTACTCTCTTTTTCTAGTTTTTCCTTCAACAATAGAAGAATATATATAGGGAAACCAAAACCCTATTTCTAGCCTAACTTCCTAATTAGAATAGGATTCAAACTTTTAATCATGATGGAACCCAAACTCCTAATCATGATGGATCTCTAACCCTATCTAATTCTCATGAAGTTCTACAAATAATCAAAGACACAATCCTAACAATCTCCACCTTGGATTTGATTCCCAAACTCCCTTGAAGATATATCATATCAAAGACACAATCCTAACAATCTCCACCTTGGATTTGATTCCCAAACTCCCTTGAAGATATATCATCGTCGTCTTGAAACTTTGTTTGATTCCCAAACTCCCTTGAAGATATATCATCGTCGTCTTGAAACTTTGTCTCTCCCGCTAGAGTCTTTTATTTCTTTCGCACTTCAAATCGAAGCAACCACACTCCTAATCAGAACACCTACACTCCAGGTGGTTGTCTCGTGACCCTCACTATCATCTGCTTCACCATGGAGCCTCCATCTCTCTTGTGTGCACCAAGAGATCTTCGTCACCTCTGACAATAAAAGCAAATCAATCATGTTTGTCCTCCCAACTTGAGCCTGACAATAGCCTCCCCTTACTTGTTGTCCTTGTGCTCCACCTGCATCGCTCGTCTCGAATCCTATCGGTGCACCTCTCCTACTCCATACTATGAGCCGGATGCCTCTATCTCCTTCATCACTTGACTTGGACCGAATATGAGCGCTCATCGTCTTCAAGTCTAATACCACCATCTCCATTACCCTATGTGTCACAGCGTCGTGCTAGCTTGCAAGCTCCACCTAATTTGGCAGTGTCCTTCTCGAGTCTACACACTAACCAACTACTGCTCCCGCGATGGCTTTGAATAATTATATTCTGATAACTCTACTACTAGAATCACATCTGATTCTCTACGCCAGTCTCATCTGTCGTATACTCGTTTGCCCTATCTACCATCAGATTCGTCTTGTCATTGATTAGCAGAATATTGAACTTCGGACCTGAAGAAGTCATCATTATCTAACCAGGATCAAAATTCAAATTAGTTACTATAGAGATTGAATTTGATAAAACCGACACCAAAAACAAACCTATCACGTCGAAAAACCCTAGGAATGACTCCTGGATCACCAAAATCCGCCTCCAAATCCTCGATCAAAAGATAAATCAATCTTAACTGTTGGATTTGTGCGAACAATATCCCGTCGCGCCGTTACAATGTTCCTACTACAGTATCGTGCTATAGTTCTCGACCGTTACATTATGTCGTTGCTATAGTAATTTTTCCTTTTTCTTTTCGTCTTGATTCTTGTAACGTCGATCTTCAATCTTGCACGTCATCGTCTTCTATCTTGCGAATTCGCTCCCGGGTTTATCACCATCGCTCTGATACCACTTGTTGGAGAATTTTACTCTCCCCGTCTACTATAATATACGCAACTCTGAAACTAACCCATAATCAACAAGATATAAAATGATCACAATCAATAAAAAAAGAACACCGGGATTTATGTGGTTCGGTCGACCAACTTCGACCTACGTCCACAGGGTAACAATACGAGAAATTCACTATGTATCAGGGAGAAATACAAGAGGAACCACTCAACTCTCATCTCTCAATCTCTCAACCTCACATACATAATCAACTCCCATATTCTCTCCAAAGCCCACTCCTTGTAATTCAATCTCTCAACCTCACATACATAATCAACTCCCATATTCTCTCCAAAGCCCACTCCTTGTAATCTTTTGCACGGATAAAGACTCACATACATAATCAACTCCCATATTCTCTCCAAAGCCCACTCCTTGTAATCTTTTGCACGGATAAAGATCACGAAATCCTCGCCTCTCCCATAATATTCTTGAATCAGGCTACGCCCTCTATTAACCCTAGATTATAAGAATATTGACTCTCTCTCTCTACTACATCTTCTCTCTACTCTATTCTTCTTAGTTTTTCCTCCAACAATTAAAGAATATATATAGGGAAACCAAAACCCTATTTCTAGCCTAACTTCCTAATTAGAATAGGATTCAAACTCCTAATCATGATGAAATCCAAACTCCTAATCATGATGGATCTCTAACCCTATCTAATTCTCATGAATTTCTACAAATAATCAAAGACATAATCCCAACAGTAACAAGTTTAATAAATTGTGTAAGCAGTTTAAAGACACTATCAATAGATAGTTTGTCGCTTTTATATTGCACAACCCAAATTTTATGCAAGGTAGGGTCTATCTTTTTCCCTTTTAATGATCAAGCATAATTTCATTTATCAAAATGTTGAGGTTGCTTCAATCGAAGAGAGAGAGAGAGAGAGAGAGAGAGAGAGAGAGAGAGAGAGAGAGAGAGAGAGAGAGAGAGAGAGAGAGAGAGAGAGAGAGGGAGGGAGGGAGGGAGGGAGTACTCTTGAATTGAGGCAGGTTCTAGTGTTTTGGTGCCCTAGAGGTAACATTATATTTTTTCTTATGATTTAATCCTCAAACTTGGGTGTAACTTTGAGGTGTACTCTTGATTCATAGTGAAATATTTCTATCTACATTGTCCCATGGACGTAGGCATGATTTATTGAACCACGATAAATCTTGATGTTTGCTTGTGTGTGATATTTTTGTTAGTACCGTTATTTGTTTCTTGTGTTTAATTTCGCGGGTAATCATCATAAAGTTCCTAACATTTATCCCTTAAAACATACACCTCATTACTTAAAATGTAACTAAAGTGTGAGCTTCTCACTCCATGAAGCGTCTCTTCTTTGAAGTGTGTATTTTAGATAAAATAAGAGGAGGATATAAAAAAGCTAAAATATTAGCTAACTATTTTGTATATCTGATTTCTTGTTCGCTCTAGATGAACACTTCTTTCTACTAATTCAACTCGTGCTCCAGAATTTTTGAGTTTAAGGTTGATTTATATTCCATTGTTTACAAGGATGAATTTTCAAATCATATCTAAAATTCAATCATTTGTATTTTTTGGGAGTTATATCTATTCCCTTATTCATTTTTATTTGGAGTTTTGAATTAATGTAGTGAGCAAGCTCTATTTTTCTATTAAAAAGTTTAACTTTAGGTCAAGGGTCCTCAATATGACTCCGTGACAATAAAATAAGTCACATGTCTTAGATATATAACTTAGTATTTCATAGTTCGAGTCTATACTTTGCATATTTAATTCTTATACATATAGGATTTTAGATGCTCTAAGCGGAAATGCAGGAAATGTTTTCTTAACATCTAAACGAAGGATCTATTGCATAAATCAATTGGATTAAGAATTAGGAAAAAACAATTACCTCTTGGTGCGTGTTCAAAGCCTTCTCTAATGAAGAGATTGAGAGTCTCACTTGAAAACTCCTCTAGTTGATCCACCCGAGCAAAGATCTGGATCCTTAGAAATCAACTGCTAGGTTGAAGATGATAGGAGAGAAAGTAGTAACACTTTCACGTATATATAGAGAAAGTGGAATAGGATTAGAGTTTCTAATAGAAAAACCACTCCTATTTATAATCCACTAATTAAAGTTATATTTAATTCTATAATTAAATATTATCTTTTATAAAATTTACAAATAAATTTATCCTTTATTTAACAATAACTCCTTATTATTAATAAACTCTATTTCGAAGCTATATCTTATATAACTTTATATTATAATTCTCCCAATATATCCAGTCCATAAACTCTTAGGGTGCGACCTCGTAGGACCCAATTATAATAGTAATGAATTTTATAACATAAAGTCCATAAATCATAGTTGGCTTCTAGCAAAGCACTATGATTACCTAAAATAACCGGATTGTAAATCTCCATTAAATGTCCCATTTTATAATTAGTAATTGCACATTCAATTAAAGGACACAATTCCTTCAATCTCCCACTTGTCCTTGAAACAAGTGTGCAATGTTAAAATTCCTTTGTCACTTAATGTCTTATTTGACTATATGATGAAACTCATCTTTATCACCAAATATGTTTCTTGAACTCTTGAGATCGAACTGTCAGTACAAATGATTACTAATAATCCATCTGAGCATGGCCATGCGTTTTTCACAGTTCTCAC